CAACTGGTTAGATGGTGCCCACCTAGGTTAAGGATGGGTCTGCCTTTCCCAGCCCACTGACTAAAATGTTAATCTCCTTTTGCAACACCCTCACAGTCACACCCAGGATCAATACTTCATGTCCTTCAATCCAATCAAGTTGACACTCAGTATTAATCATCTCAAGTCCAACCCTTGTCAACTTGAACCAATTCACATCTCCTGAGATCATATATTATCTTCAAATAAAGACAGAAATAAGGTCATAATTACGCCTAACATACTATAACTATCCTTTGTGCAACTGAAAACACATCAATCCCCAATGCAAATGCTACTACGTAAAGCTAACTATACTTAAATGCTGATATGAAGTCCATAAATCTTATGCCACATGATAAAGGGAAAAGGAAATAAAATGAAGATATTTTCTTAGTACAAGTGTATACATACACAAAGATGTTTTTAACAAAAGAAGGAGGAAACACTCATGACAATTACAGTCCTCGTATCTGCAACTGGTCACGTGGTTGATGACTACCTTCTGCTACTACACATTCTGTATTCCCTTTGCCTTCAGCAAACACCTCAGCAGGTCTTGTTTTTTTTTTTCCTGGTGGGATGACCCAAACCTTCATTTGTAGTCCCGCCTGGATTGGGCTGTTGTAATTTCCCATTGACCTTAATCACAGGGGATGGTAATACTAAGAGATGCCCTAATGGATCTCCCGTATTCTATGCATGCTCTTCCTTACCACCATTGTGGAGCAGTAGACTGATTTCATCTTGATAGCCTGGGTCAATCACCCTAGCCAACACTGTCACTCTTTTCTTAACCTGTTGACTTAAAGGTAGGAGGAGCCCAAAGTATCCAGGTGGCAATCTTAACTTCTTTAATGGAATCGTTATTCACCTGGTGGCAGTGTTCCTCCCTCTGGAACTAAGAACTTTAGGCCAGCAGAACATAATGTTATGGGAATAGGAAGCAAAAATATTTCTAGTGGAATACTAGGGGTGATAGTGAGTGGTGCCACTTCCACTTCCACCCTTTTATTCCTGGACCCATGGATCCTGGCTATGGGAGAAACAGTGCCATATATTGGACACTGATTCAGAGCATACATGGTCTTCTGGAGAACTTTGTCCCAGCCCTGTTAAGTATTGTCACCTAGTTGGCATTGTAATTGTAACTTTAAAAGGCCATTCCACTGTTCTATCAATCTAGCTGCTTCAGGATGATGGGGAAAATGGTAAGACCAGTAAATTCCATGAGCATGAGCCCCCTGCTGTACTTGTTTCGCTGTAACATAAAGTGAGTGCCTTGGTCAGAGGCAGTGCTGTATGGAATACCATGATGGTGGATAAGGCATTCCATGAGTCCATGGATAGAAGCCTTGGCAGAAGCATTGCACACAGGGCAGGCAAGCCCATATCTGAAGTAAGTGTCTATTCCAGTGAGGGGCATGCCCTACAAAGGGGCTGTAGTGCTGCAGCTGTCCACTTTCAGGTGGTGCCTCCATGTCGTGCAGAACCATCTGTGGAGCAGGCCCTAGTCTTCTCTTCCTCTGTCAGCTGATCACAGGGAACTCCCCATGAGGCCATCGTTGCAGCCTGAGAGAGAGGGCAGGGTGGCAGGAGTGGAGACCATGGGCATTTGAACCACTTCCTCATGTAACTTACTTGTGCCTTCAGGATCTGCTCAAGCCCGATCACGTATATCCCACTTCCATTTGATGATGGAATGCTGCTGTGCACACAGACTTTATGGCTAGATGGGTCAGAAAGCACCCAGTTCATAGCACTTCAGGTCATATGGTGACTTGATGACCCTTAGTCAAACGTTCAGTTTCCATCAAAGCCCAGTTACAGGCCAAGAGCTGTTTTTCAAAAGGAGAGTAGTTATCTGCAGAAGATGGCAGAGCCTTGCTCCAAAATCCTAGAGGCATCCGCTGTGATTCACCTAGGGGGGGCTGCCAAAGGCTCCAAACAGCATCCCTATCTGTCGCTGACACCTCAAGCACCATTGGATCTGCTGCGTCATATGTCCCTAGTGAAAGAGAAGCCTGCACAGCAGCCTGGACCTGTTGCGGAGCCTTCTCCTGTTCTAGACCCCACTCTAAACTGGCAGCCCTTTGGGTCACTCGATAAGTGGGACAGAGTAACACACCCAAATCAGGAATGTGTTGCCTCCAAAATCCAAATAGGCCCACAAGGCATTGTGCCTTTTTCTTGGTTGTGGGAGGGGCCAAATGCAGCAAGTTATCCTTCATCTTAGAAGGAATATCTCAACAGACCCCACGCTATTGGACCCCTAGAAATTTTGCTGAGGTAGAAGTTCCCTGAATTTTAGTCAGATTTATTTCCCATCCTCTGGCATGCAAATGTCTCACCAATAAGTCCAGTGTGTTTGCTATTTCTTGCTCACTGGTCCCAGTCAGCATCAATGTAATGGACCAGTGTGATAACTTGTGGAAGTGAAAGATGATCAAGGTCTCTCCAAATAAGATTATGACACAAAGCTAGAGAGCTGATATACTCCTGAATTCATCATTTTCTTTCATAACTTTGTCCAGTGAACTTATGAGCAACCAACCAACTTCACTATGTTCCTTGATTCTCCACATGTTGTCAAAAGTATTATGTATAGAGTCACTAAATTCCTTGCCTCTCATAAACATTAAATCAGGAGTGTCAAATGCATTTATTTTACATAACTCTCTAAACAATTCATGCCAAGGACTATCAATGTTTTTCATACTATTAGAACAAGAGTCCTTAGAATTTTGGGTCTAATAATATTAAGCAGCCTACTCCAGAAACCCCAAAACCAATGAAAGAACTCCATGCTTAATATTCTGTTCCTCTAGAACCACTCCTGGTACCAAAATCTGTATTAGTGAGGGTTTTTTAGAGAGACAGAACTAATAGGATATATATATATATATATATATATATA